CCTTAGTTATTTAGGATTTGCTTTATTTAATTCATGTCTAAATAGGATTTGCAGTTAGCATAAATATAGGAATAGACTTTCCTGTTTCTAGTTGAAATATGTTTCATACTATTATAAATAGAGGTATTGATAGTTTATTTTATGTGTAGAGGAAATAAAAAATTATAGAGAACATTTATAGATATATAATAAAATATTTTCATTCATAAGTTAATATACAAAATTTGAGAAAGATTGAAGGTGATTTAGACTGGTTTTGTATCAAAATTCGTAATTAAATCGAGTTCAAAAAATTATTCTGCGATACATGTATCAAACATATATCACACATGTATCTCACACACAAGTATACATGGATATACATGTGATATACATTTGATACAAATATGATACATATGTGATACACATATAATTTTTTTATGTTCAGTTTTTACTTCGAATTTTCAATTCAAATCACCTCAAAACTTCACCAAATCATCCCAAAACTAAAATTCAAGCTTCTTAAGATGTACCCAATCTATTCTAATAACACTCACTCAAAAGAAAGCAAAAATTTAACATTTTTTGTTACAAATAGCTAATTGGCTAATAATAGTAATATTTGGCTAATATTAGTAGTATTTTATGAATTGACCAATTTTTGTAATGAACTACTTATAAATGGGCATAGCTGATAGTTTCCCCTTTTTTTTGAATGTCAATTACAAGGAAAATATGGACCAGAATCCGTGTGTGGCTGGGCTTCAACAGAACAATGGACGAAGTGTACTGGTAGTCATTTTTAAACTTACTATTTAAAATATATCCATAATTAACAATATATTTACATATTAGCCAATTCGTCCAAACTTCAAGATTAAGTATCCTGAATTTTTAAGTTGCTAATTTGAACTTCAAGACTTAATATCCTAAAATTTTGAGATGCTAATTTAAAATTTAGGACTAAGTGTCCTGAACTTTTAAACTTCCAATTTGTAATTAAGAACATAAGATTCGAATTTCTGAACAATTTTCAAACTTTAAGACACGATATTCCAAAATTTAAGCAAAATCATTTATTTTTAAATACATTATAAATATTGAATATATTTTAAACATCATATTTAAAAGTGGCTACCTAGTGTCATTTCCCCATAGAACAATTGGCAATTGGAATGAAGAACTTTACTAGGCTTGTCAGATGTCCGAAAGAAGTAATGAATTGTGTGCTATTATGTTTTTCGCAATGCTCATAGCTGTTATTTGGAGAAAAAGAAACAAGATCAGATTTTAGAACATACAAGTTGAGGCAACTCGCCGACGTTGAGAAATTGCTCTACACAGAGGCAGGGGCATTGACAAGTGGCAGAGACCGCTACAAGACTTATATTCTTTTTCATAAGTTATATACTCCTTCCGATTTGTAATAAGTGACTATTTTACCTTTGACACACCCATTAAGAAAATACAAATTCCTAGGAAAAAAGATGTATTCACTAAATTAAACTTAATTAATTGGTATCTTGACACATTGGAATGTAAATAAGGACAAATTTTGAAAAAATAAAATTAATTCTTTCTTGATTATATAAATAAATACTTATTTTGGACCAAAATAGAAAGGTAAAATGGTCACTTATTGTGAACCGGAGGGAATATTAATTAAGTTATTGGGTTTTATATTCCTAATTATTGTCACAACCCAAACTGAAAGGCCGCGACGGGCACCCGGTGCCTTACTCAACCGAGTACCAACGCAAAATACCTTTCTTTTCATACTATCATGAGTAAATGATCCAGAAAATCCGTCCTGAGATAACAAGAATAAAACATAAGGGAATACTCAACATATGATGACTTAACATGATATACAAACTTATATATGTGACATACGAGCCTATAAGGTCGACATGACCATTTGTAAACTCAAAGCATAGACCGACAAGGCCATACAAGTATCCATACACCTGACATCTGTCTACAAGCCTCTAAGAGTACATAAAATTATAGAGGTTGGGACAGGGCCCCGCCATACCAATCAATACATATCCAAAGCATACTGACCAAATAGGCAACTCCGGAGCAAGTGGAGTGCACCAACACCTTCCGCTGAGCTGATAGCCTACTAGGAGGATTGTCAACCTATCAATCGGGACCTGCGGGCATGAAACGCAGCATCCCCGGGCAAAAGGGACGTTAGTACGAATAAAGTACCGAGTATGTAAGGCAAGAAAGCATAAACAAGATCAGTAATGTAAAGAGAGATATAAGAGATACAACCTGTAACATTTGAGTGCCTCTGGTGGTACTGACATGAAATGCATAATACATATATATACATAAACTTTTAAAAACATACGCCTATATGGGCATCATCATCATATCGTACCCGGCCTCAAAGATGACTCGGTAAAAACGTACCCGGCCATCATATGGCTCGGTAGAATCGTATCCGGTCACATGAAGCTCGGTAAACCCAACTGATCAGTGGTTGCACAATAGGTGCCGTACCCGGCCGTCTATAGCGCGGCTCGGTAAAGTAAAATAGATACTATATATAATGCATGATAGACTCATGGAATCACGTTCTAAACCTTTCGGAATGACTTAAGGTTGTTGCACCTTCGATTAACATTATGGACATCCATACCCTCAATATGAACCTCAGTAAAATTCAAGGATCATACACACTTGCTTAGAATAATTTTATAAGTAAAGAACAATATGGACAACCTTAGTTGCTAGGAGTAGATCCGTTATGAAATAACGTATTCATTTCACTTTAGATCATGCCAAAAGAAAGAAGGAAGTGCCTTAACATACCTTTGAAATCTTCTATCCAATCGTCAAGCAAGCTCAATATGATCTTCTTACGTCTACAACGAGTAAATCGACTTCGTCGTCATCATATAAGCGTTGTAACTTTCATATTTGGAAACTAATATTCTACAAGAAAACAGGCAACACCTCCCATGTTTGTACTGCATCCCATATGTTACCAAAAGTCACCAAACAACCCAAACAACAATAATATAATTCACAATAAGCTATCTAATTAGTTCAATAACCATTTTGAGCGGCAAGCTCGATTTACGATTAACAAAATATGGTTTGAATCCAACTCCTTTTCCATGAATCTGCCTACAACATGTATAACATCATACTTATGCTTACCATATCATTTTCAACCCAAAACATCATAAGCATAATCTTCAAATATAGTCCACACACCTAGCACCTTAGCCTTTATCGTCAACATTTTATTTTTCATGTTATCTTCTTAAACTCACTGAATTAGCACATAGGTAAGTTTAACAACAACAACCAGAACATAATAAAACTATTTATAACAATTTCTAGCCATAACAAACCATATATATAGCCTCAATACAGCCCACAAAAAAGATAGTGATTCCTTATGCCATGTCAATTATTATCTTGTAGATTTTCACTCAAACAACTCAACCAACACATGATTGACCTTAAGCACAACCAAGAACATGATTTACTTACCTTAGGCAGTAGATACAACTTGAAATCCCTAGCTGGTGTAGCTCACAACAACCCTCAATCACATCACAACACTATAGGAGTTGTATTCTCTTCTTGAATCAATTTTTGTGTGCATGTTGGTGTGTAAACACTTGTATTTCGCCTTGAAACTCTACTATACATGAAGGACGTACTGATTCTTAGCCTAATCACAAATAACAACACAAAATCTGAGGTTACTTACCTTTGAAGAACCCTACAAAACAGTCACAAGATGCAGAACTACGATCTAGCAAGCACCACAGGATTTCTAGCGTTGGATTCATATTTTTATCTTAGGTTTTCACCCTAGAATCATGGAGGAACTCTTGGAGAGCATTTAGGAAGGTTTAGGAACTGTTGTGGATGAGAAAGATGAGTTAAAACGACATATAAATGACTTAAATACAAGCTGAAGTTTAAACCAACTTTGTGGGTCCCATGGGAGCTGCTTGCGCAGTCTCCCAAAAACGCAAATATCTCTCTAGTCCGATGTCGTATCGACAACCGGTTTAATGTTTTAGAAACTAGACTCGTAGATCTTCAATTTGATATGTAGATCATCCCTTGATTCCAAGTATATTGGGAGAAAAATGCAGCTACATTTGACCTAAATTTTAGCACATTATGAATGCAACTTGTGATGACCTTTGCCAATTTCTGTTCCACAACTTGCTTGACTTAAAAACATAACACACGACTATCATATGACTAAAATAACTCATAACTTAACCTCTTATCATATTAATCACCCTAGTCTCACCATAAAAGTATATGTTATAACATTCCAAACTTGTCGACTTTCGACGAAACTTATTATTTTTCAATTTGTTTAGCGTCTAAGCTTTCCAACCCTTTTGGTACTTGTTTTTCATGATCTTAAAGATTTGTAACCTCCAAAATAACATGATGAACTTACGTTGTGTACTTTCAAAAAAAATCTCATTTCCGAGCTTACATCAATTGGCTTACGACGTACTCTCACGTACGAAAATATGGGATGTAACAATTATGCCGGTTGTGGTGTAATAGCATGGAGTTACATTCCCATGATGAGTAGTTGACTAGCTGAATTAGGAAGTTTGGTTGGAATTGAATGTACATATTTTTTTGGTATCAATAGAAGTTATTATTTTGACAAAAAAAAGAAGTAAAATGACTTTCTATAGCCGCTATCAAAATAATAGTCACACACATATATACATACATATTTTTTTATGTTATATACAAAATATGTACAAATTTTATACGCTTTTAGCTATCGAATATAAATAATTTATGGTGCGAACTAAAAGTGATAACGCACTCAAAAAAATCATCTTAAATTCAGAATCTTTGATATTCAGAATTCAAATTTAAATGCAATATTTTAATAATCAGACGTGTTCTGATTTTAACATCTCAATCACAACTAAACAAAATCACAAAAAAAACAAACGACCTTAGGTTTAAGTTGGTTAGTGGATAACCCAAAATTTAAACATATATCTTCTCGAAAGTAACAGATCATCTTAGATTTACATAACCAGCGAAAAATAAACGTACTTATAATTCTCTTTCACTGAGTGACGCCTTGTTGCTTGCTCTCTTCCTCCCCGCCCTCTCTTTGTTGCCGTTGCTTGCTTATTCTAGGGCTTCACCACCTTTTATTTCATTGTTCCTCTCAATTCCCATGCACACATAAATTTTCTTTAATTCTAGGGTTTTATAGGGATTATTGGATGGTTTGTTAGATAATAGTTGAAGGTTCTGAGAATTGAGAAAACGAAAGATGGCATCTTCAGATAAAGAACTGGAACAACAGCTCGTCGAAGCTGGAAACAAGCTTCTTCAGCCTCTTTCTTCGGTTGACGATGAACTCCTTCTGTTACTCGACGTGAGTCCCTTCTCCTCTTTTATAGTATTTTTTTCCCCGCTTTAATTCGAATTGGCTGATTCTTGTAATAGTTTTAAAAAGTGAGTTGCATATTTATTTATACTGGCCACATTTGAAATTGCCTAGGGGTTATCAATGTGAGTGTTGGGAGCTTTTTCCTACCTTCAATTTGTATATGGCTTTTACCTCTGCATTTGAGTTTTGTGGGTTGGCTGGAAAGCCTAATGGTTCTGTTTAGATGGCATTTCAAGGAAAAAGCAAAATAAAACCGTCTGCTTTTGAATTTGACAAAAGATGGGTTGAAGTCTACAGTCACAACACGTCCAAAGTTCTACAATGCACACCTAATATCTCCAGATAAGCTCATAGAATCCGTTATTTATGTCGTGAAGTATTGATTTGATTTGGATAATTTGCAGGTTTGAGGCTAGTCTTGGCCAATAGATCATTGTCATGGAGAAAGCGCAGAAATTTTCTTGTGTTTTACCCTCTAAGTGAGAAGAATTTCATGAAATTAGCTACCTGCCAATTCCTCTCTTCCTCTCTAGTGGAAGCGCTCTATAGCCTTTCCTATCTATGGTCGAGACAGAGGACCAAACCGTTGCTAGGGTAACACTACTAGTACCCTACCCAGCTAAAATCCCAACCCTGACTATCATCACGCCTTCCCCCGCTGCTGTACTCAGCTGGTTGACCAGATGCTCAAGATCTAAACTACATCCAGGTCTCCAGAAACTTATAAGAGGACGCAAGTGATGGTATTTCAAGAAAAGGTTCCCCTCCTAGTAGCCTTTTGGATTTGTTGTACTGTCATTTCCTTTTGGCTTGATATATTATAAACTTTCGGGAATGTCAGAATGTGTCTCAGAGTTCCTTCTCCACACCACCCGTGACTCCTAAATCTGATTCAACTTCCACACCCACCTTCAAGGTTTTGGGGCTGATGAAGTTTTCCGATCATTTCCCTCGTCAAGAAAAGAAGTTTTCCTATCATTTCATAATATTCCTCCAAAATCTACACCCAAAAAGGAGTAACTTTTTTAGTCCTCCACCCCCCTTCAAGAACTCCATACATTTCCACTATCACCCCCTTCCATAAAGCATGCTCCTCAATTTCGAATCTCCATAATCGCCCTAATAGGACCTTGTTTATAACTCAGTGTTTTTCCCACCCCAAGACCACCTCATTTTTTTGGAGACGTGACGTCTTCCCAACTGATTAAATGGAACTTCTTAACCCCATGTTCTGAGTCCATAAGTAGTTCCTTTGGAGCCTTTCAAATTTGCTGTGACATTAGTTGGTCCGTGAAACAATGATATAAAGTACGTGCGAATGCTCAATAAAGTGCTTGCAGTTAATACTTCCTTCACCCTTTCGACATACACCTCATTTGTCCTCCTGCATTTTCTCAACTCTCTCAATCACCAGGTCCCATGCAGCTTGATCCTTATTAACGCCCAAAGGTAAGCCGAGATAAGTTGTTGGAAAAGGTCCAACCTTGCAACTAAGCAGTGGTGCTAGATTCTCAATATTGTTACTTCACCCGCTGGTCACTTGGGATGATCTCGTACTTCTTGAGCTTGATTTTACGGCTTGACAATGACTGAGTCAGTGTAAGAACCTGTCTAAGATAATCCAGCTGGTTAGTGTTTATGTCACGGCAAACTAAAGTATCTTTGTGAACAAGAGATGTGAAAATCTCATTGTGCATTGCTCCCGATCACCACAGGGAAACCCCTGAAGTAACGACCTGTACAGTTCATCCATCATTCCACTCTACGCTTCTATTATCAGGATGAGTAGTGTAGGAGATAATGGGTCCCTCTGTCTCAAACGCTTCTTTATCGCCCTTAAAGTACCGCCAGCAGCTCAGAAGTTCATTTACTGACCATGCATCAATCACTGAAATCCTAACATATTAAGGAACAAGTCCAGGGTTGCCTAGCAGTTGGACATTGAATAAATAGATGATCGTTGTTCTCTACTTCTTTGTGCCACATATAACATCTGTCGAATAACAAAATCCCCCTCTTGTGGATATAATTGCGTGGGGTAGGCATCACGAGACAAAATCCAGTATCTTGACTTTATTGGGGGTTTTCGTCTTCCGTATTTGTTTCCAAGGACATATGCAGTTATGTTGTGTATTAGAGTTTAATTACCTGTAGCAAGATTTGACAGAAAAAGGTTCTACTGCTATGTCTTTAAATAACCCGTCACCTTTCTTACATTTTAAAAAATGTGCCGCTTTCAAGTCCAACACATGGATTGGTGCTTTTCACTTAATTCATTTTCAATTTATAGGAAAATGTATATTCATGTTTATGGTTTATAAATAGCCTTTGGATGTACAACATTATGGTTTTTCTGGTCTATCTTCAGTTACTGCTTGTTACATGCTCCCATGATATAAGTGGCGCTGCTATGTACTTGCCAAATTGTTTCTTTCTTTTTTTCTTCTTCAAATTTTCTGCTTTCTAACTATTGTTTTAGAAACTCCATAACTTATTAGCTTGGTAGCCTGAACTTGGGGCTAACTTTGATCTTCAGCTCATCAGTAGGTAAGAACTTTACAAGTTTGCATGTGGTTCCTTGTATCCTATTTGGAGCAAGAAAATTAGCCCTACTGGTTTTCTTCAAGAAACACCAAGTAATTAATTGTTATCTTATTGCAAATAACATGAATTTGACTTGCAAATGGGAGCTGTTACTAGATGGAAATAATATGATTTTATAATTTTGTGTCCTCTGTAGATGTATCATCATTGTATTTTAAGCTTGATTTGACTAGCACTCGTCCATTGAGGCCTTTAAAATGGAAATGAGAAAAAGAAAAGTGTTGGGAAATAAATAAGATGATATATTTGGTGGGGTGAAACATAATTTTTTCACTTTTAATCCTTCCATGTTTTGGTTGATTTGATTTTGCAAAAAAATTCAGATCAGAATCTGGAATTGTATTTCAGGATTCCTGTGCCACCTCTTTGTTAGGCTTCTACTTCTCAATTTTTTCACTTGTGCGTTGTTGTTTTTTAATTTTCCCTTTATCGTCTACTTAAAGCGAGTGGAGTCTTGCCTGTCTAGAGTGGAGCAATCACCAGCCATATCCATGCATGATGCACTTTCTCCGTTAATTAAGTCATTAGTAGCAGATGAACTCCTAAGGCATTCGGATGTTGATGTGAAGGTCGCTGTTGCTTCTTGTGTATCTGAAATAACTAGAATATCTGCTCCAAACGCTCCATATGATGATGACAAAATGAAGGTATCAGAAATTTACTCTGTCATTATCCTTCCTTATCGGCCGTCTAATAACATTCCATTTGGTTGACACACAGGATGTCTTTCAATTAATTGTTTCATCCTTTGAGAATTTTCATGACGAGTGCAGCAGATCATATAGTAAAAGGGCCTTGGTCCTTGAGACTGTGGCCAAGGTCAGGTCATGTGTGATCATGCTTGATCTAGAATGCGATAAGCTCATAACAGAGATGTTTCAGCATTTCCTTAAAGAGATAAGGTACCTCCATATATCTTATTGCTTTAAACGTAATTTTGCTATCAAGGACATTTTGACTTCTTCTAGTTGTAATCTACTTTTTCCTCACAAAAAAGTGATTCTGTTTGATTGAAAATTTTGACTATAGATGTTCACCACGGTGAGCTTCTATTGTTTGCTCTTTCAAGTACTACTTGTAATTAATATTGAAAGTCTTTTCCCAAATATTAAAAATAATTTTCTAACAATGTTTTTACTCGTATATTCTTGGATTTGCAGATTCCTTGGACTGCATCTGAAGTTTATGATCCCTATATTATCTTTTATGGGCGAAGTTTATGATCCATATACTTCTATAATTTTTTTTATTAATTTTTTTCCAGGACTTGTATTGTTTATAGAATTGCTTATTTATGTACATGTAATCGTACCTTTATTGGGGTTTAAGCAATTGTTGGAGGCCAGAGTTGTGCCAAATGTGTTATTTGATTTTATGCCGAAAATGTCTTACTGTCCACATCTGCTTGCATACTAACTAGACATTCATTCCTCGCATTCCTCACTAAATCGAGCAATGTGATAGTGCACGTATTGAGATTCAGCTTGACCAGTATCCATAATGGAACTGGAAGGTCAATTATCCTTTTTGATGATATCTAATGCTGCATTAAAGTAGTGAGGTAGGAATTTTTTCTTGAATATTGGTATAAAATGAAAAGTTATATCTAAATAAGCGATGATGTTCTAACTGAAATAGAGGATTGCATTTTCTGTAATTCTCGTCAGCTACTTCTCGTTCTGCTTGTTGTGAAGAATGAATTTGTGAAGCTTTATTAAACCACTACCAATCTGTCAATTCTAACTATACTGATGGGCGTCCCTGGGATGAATTCTGTTGCTGGCTGGATTTTAAGTCTCTTAGGACTCGTTTAGTACGAGGGATAAGGGATAATTAGTCCCGGGATTAAATTTGAGACGACTTTATCCCATGTTTGGTTGGGATAAAATCATGGTATAACTAATCCCGATTCCCGGGATTAGTTATCCCGCAATTGTAGTGACTTTTATCCCTATGAGAGGGTGGAATAACTAATTCCGGGATAATTAATCATGCGATAACTTGTTTCCCAACCAAACGACCCCTTATAGACTTATACGCTGTTATGGATCACAAATTTTGTATGTCATGCTGCAGTTGTTAGTAGATATAAAATAGTGGCATTTACTCTATGGAACTTGACTTTCTTTTAGTCGACCTTTTACTTTGGTTTCGGTAGCATTTCCATGTTAATTATCAATTTAGCATTATTTCTGAAATGATTGTTGTAAACCTAGTAATAAATTGTTCAACATCACTGCTTTGTGAATGACGTTAGGGTAGACATCGTGAAGTTAATCAATTTAACAGTTTATTGCTTGAATTCCATTTCCAGAGATTTTCATTCGGAGGATATATTCACATATATGGCGACGATAATGACTGTTGTGTTGGAAGAAAGTGAAGAAGTAACTATGGAACTGCTTACCCCACTGCTGGCTACTGTAAAAAAGCACAGCAAGGTTTTTCATGGTTTAATAGATGCACTTATTTTGTATTGTCGCATTTATTAAGTCCTTTTTAGTCTTGTGATATGGCTAAATGTTCTCAACTTTCAGGAGGTGACGCCCATTGCTAAGAAGTTGGTGAAGACAGTATTTGCAAATTGTGCACCCAAGCTCAAACCTTACCTGGCACAAGCAGTTGAATCATTAGACCTTTCTTTGGATGAGTACAGCAAATCCCTGACCTCTGTGTTGGAAGGGACTCATATAGCTGTTGAGCTTGGCAATGACAGTTCCTTAAGAGACCAATTGGTAAACTTAATTTTCATTGTTAAGTTATGCTGCCTTTTTAAGATTTTGATGCTCTATTGCCCCTGTAAAATAAAATTTTCAGTTTTCAAATCCGAACTCCTGTAGTAGCAATGTTCAGATGATATCTACTAAATTGTAGCGGCATAACTGACAGGCACAGATCAAGTAAATGACCATAAAATAACTTGGTACAGTGAGGGCTACTGTTAACAGCATATTTGAATATGAAATAAGAATGCAAAAAAAATTTCTTTCTAAAAAGTTTTATGATGTTTTGCAAAAGGGAGAAGGTAGAGCTAAAATCACATAAAATGATTGTTATCTCAAAAGACCTGCAATTTCTTGGGCTCCACACAAATTTAGCGAAATGCAGGACAGAATAAAGGCTAAAGACCCATAGAAGTGACACCAACTAGTGGAGATTAAGGTTTAGTCATATGCGCTGTGCTGACGTCAGGCAAAGTGTTGCTGGTATCTATTTAGTTTGTTTAAAGATTGTTAGTAGGAGGTGTAGGAAACCTCGATTGTTGGTAAACTCAATTTTTAGACACAGGAATGAAATGAGTCGAAATAGAGCAAAATGGATTGTAAGGAATTTATGCTAACCCTAACTAGCTCGGAATTGAGGCAAAGTAGTTTTTGTTGTATTGTTATGATGTTTTGCCACAGCAATTTAACAAGGAAACCAATTTCTTAGTCTTGTCCAAAAGAGTTGGAAGTGTATAACTTTCTTGATGCGTCGTTGTGTAGATGATGTGATTAGATGCCAAATATATCTCGTAGTTCATATGTAAGTGCTGAAGTTCTAATGTTTTGCCAATTTTGTAGCTCTTTAGCAATGAGATTGATGATTGCTAAATATTAATGGTTCTGGGGAAGAGTGATTTCGGCAAATGTTTTGCATGTTGATTTCATAGTTGTTCAACATGTACTTGTTCTCAGTATGAGAATTTGAAGCCCCTTTTTACTGTCTGTGTGTGCCACAAGTGTGTAGTAGTTGATGTTGTTGGTTTGGACGCAATATTATCGCAGTATTTTTTATTTTCTTATAGTGAAGTAAGTTGTTTCATAATCTCATTACTGGCATCAAGTAGATGCAAAGAGTACAAAGGTAAATATGCTTGCTCCATTACGTGATGTTATAAATAGAATCTGGGAGCTAACCGAAAAACCAAAAAATCTGATGAAGGCCATGCTATTGCAGTCTCTCTTTGTGTGGCATCGGGTTGAAGGTTTCACTTTTTAAAAACTACTGACAATGTGATTGACCTTGCAATTCTCTCCTTATTTTAGTATTAAGTTTATATATTGATGTGTGTTCAAGGCTGCTGAGAGCAAGTTTTCTGGCCTTCCAGAGGGTGTTCATGCAACTCAGTTGTGCGATTGGATTTCTTATGTTTTGTGATTTTTCCAGGATATTTTTGTTATAAGTATTTTTATATCTTGTCTTGGAATGCACATTGTCTAAGGCTGCTGGGAGCAAAGTGGCTAGAATATCTTTGGACGAGGCAGGCCAGGCATGTTATCTGGATATTATGATTATTATTTGTTTGTGTTTCCAAATCAATGAATTGGTTTGATGTCATCTATGGTCGTGCATATAAATGTGTTATTTCCAGAATGTGCTTCCAATGTGATTGTGTTGTTGGCTGGCTGTTATTTTAAGGTATTTATTTGGGAACTTCTTATTTGATTAGATGGCTGAGAGTGTCAGAGAAGAGTCATGCTCTGATGACGTTGACCATGCTGTTAATAAATCTTCAAAGTCCATCACAAGTAATGGTGTTAGTGAAAGAAACGGGGAATCTGCTGCTCAAACAGATTCTTTGATTAAGGTCGGGAATCATGATACTGGGGATCTGCAAGATGCTGCTGCTAAGATGACATCGAAGTCTGATTCTGATGATTCAATGGTTGAGAAGTCAATGAAATCAGAGTCTAGGTCAGCACAAGCTGCTAAGGAAAGTGCAAAGAAGGCAAACTCTTTAATAAACTCAGCTGAATCTTCTTTTCAAGCTCCTGACGACAATGAAAAAGAAGCCGATGGGCTTCCAGAATGCAGGAAAAATCAAAATAGCGATTCTGAAAGTTCCACTTCTGATGACCCAGCTTGTGAGGGATTCAACTCTTTGGAGAAGAAAATAGAAGCTAACCTTCAGCATTCTACGCCAAAAGAATCTGAGGGAGACGCTATAAATGTAGCTCCGACATCTCCAAGTCGGAGCCTTGCTGACGAGTGTGTCGGAAAAAAGGCTGGTCGTGGTCGGCCAAAGAAGAAAAAAAGCTCGAATAAAAAACAGAGTGTGTCTAAGGAGGTATCTGAAGGTACAAAAAACTTAGAAGCAAAGCAGGTCAGTCGCCCTTCCAAGGAAGCCCCTTTAGAGCCTTCTCACGAGGAAAAAGAAGATGGCTCCTCCAGTGACGCGGAGGCAATAACGCCGAAGCAGTTGGGTAAGAAGAATGAACCGAGGGTTAAGAGTCAGAGCCAGGATGGCCCCTCTACGAAAAAGGACGATGGCAAAAAGCGTGCTCCTGCAAAAGCTAGGCTGGTAGTATGATTCCCTACAATATTCTTCTAAGGATGATGTCGCTTTAGTTTCTGGTTTCTCCCATTGCAGCTTCATCCCTTTCTAGACTTACCAAACGCTCTTCATGTTAGTCCCATCTATTTTGTTTCTTATTGGCGCTATCTAATTTTGTTCTTTTTTTTGGGTAGGAGAGCACACCTTCACCGGATTCTCCTGATAAGCCTGCTAAAGATGAAGGTAACCAAGAGGAAATCACAAAGAGTGCAAAGAGAAAACAGTCGTCTGGTAAGGACAGGGTAAGTGCTTTACAATGTATATTTATGCTGCTTTATCCATCTTATCTGTTAGCTGTTCAGTGTCCAAATGCCACTGTACTTGTGAAAATAAATATCATGCTCAAAAATTTCTGCTTGATTTGACCGTCCCATTGGAATCTCCTTTTCGACATAGTTGCAGTATCTTGCTTGTCTTTTTCACTCTACTTATGACAGTCTATGCACCCCCCTTTAACCATGATATTGATATTTTAAACGTGCATATCCAGGATGAAGGTTGTCGGATGTGTAGTGAAATCTTCAAAAATTGGTTTATATTTGATTCATTTATCATCTAGAGAATGTATTGTGTGATTAATCAGTGACTTCTCTAGGAAGCTGATGTCTAATCAGTATATGCTGTTGTGCTACTTGTCAGGCAACAGAGGATGTGCAATATGATGAAAGCCTGGTTGGTTTAAAAGTTAAAGTTTGGTGGCCACATGATCGATCGTAAGTGTTTATCTTATTTCCTGTGTTACACTGTTGTCAACTTGTTTGCTCTACCTTTTTTCCCCCGCCCCCTTGGCCCTCAGAACTAATTGCTATAGTTCTTGAGCAATTTTTATCATATCGGGGTAACAGAAATTGCTGCGCAAATGTATGTTAGTTTTATTTGTACACTTTTAGCAATGTAAACTTGCTTTACTTTTGTTTGTAAACACTTTCTGGGTTTTTTGCTGACCCTGCTCTGTTGTTACAGATTCTATGAAGGTGTTATTAGTGCCTTTGATTCTGGCAAAAGAAAGCACACTGTAAGTGCAGTTTATTTCCTGCTGCTATAGTAGATTTGTTCCCTTTGTTACTTGCAAAGTTTGACTGGTATTTTCATACTAGGTTTCATATGATGATGGAGAAATAGAAGTATTAAATCTCAGAAAGGAACGGTGGGAATTCATTCAAGGAGATGAAGTGTCTGAAGAGGTTTATTGCTGGCAGAATTTGATATTTGCTGGATTTACCTTATGCATTCTCTAATGCATTTGAATGCTGATCTGTTGGCAGGATCAAATCGCACGTCCAGATGTGTCATCAGTAGTGTAAGCATGCTATTTATTACTTATTCCTTTAGGCGCTACTGGTTGGTGTAGCGAGGACATTTTATCTCATAAACACCAAAACTGTTAATACAATGTTTGGTTGCTACTTTCTTTTCCTCATAAATAATACCTCCATAAGTTTATGTGAGAATTTGTGTATTATTCTATGCGACATAGAATATGGAATAACAATATGAATGTTTGTAATACATGGATTAGGCATCTACATATTATTTTAACCTATTTGTGGGGCATAGGCACTAATAACATTGATTGCCTCCTCCTATACAAGCCTTAATGCAACAATCCTATCCCCAGCTCGTTTTATCTCTATAACTTTATTTTTAAGTCCTGGTTCTACAGTAATTTCCAACCCATTCATATTTTTATCTATCGGCGCAATATCATAATTTATAACCCGTGTTATCTCTCTAGGCTTTTGCCATGCAATATTAACTCTCCTCCTTTTTAGGGTATCCACCAAATTCCATCGACTTCCCTGTCAAAGTGCATATGCTCCAGCTACCTACCTGAATTCGACTCTCTTGGACTAGCTTTTTACCCTTATCTGTCCATGATGCGAGAAGCCTTTCTTATTTTACAGCACATCCGGGCATTGATGAGGCGAAAGTAGCTTTTGTACTCATACCTGTCCATGAAGTGGGAACCCTTTCATACCCACATTCGGGCATGATGTAGGAACAATTGCTTATACTCCTTCACAGTCACATAGGTGCGATGTATGAGGATTATGAATTGACAAGTTTTACGCTGGCTGCCAGTCTACCTTAATGCTTCTCCTTTATTATTTTTTTTGATAACCGTGGTATCCAGTTCAACTTGCGCATACGTCGGCTAATTCCATACAGTACCTGTAGCAGGTACTGGGTGACTTTGTCCACCAGGCTTGGAAGAAATCACGTAATGTTTTTGCCTCCGTTGAGATTTGAACATGATGCCTCATGGCTCTCAACCTACATCATTGACCACTTGGCCACACCCTTGGGTGCTTAATCTCCCTCCTCCTTTATTTGGGCTTGGGACCAGCAATGTGAATTCATTTATATCCTTTTCTCCATTCTCTTTAGGAAGACAGAATAAGGAAGATCGTGTGTGATAAAAGTGCTCTAAGCATTCTGTTCACATCATCATGGACAATTTCCAAGGTATAGTGAAAGATTCCCATTGTAAAATCCATCAGGTTCCTGTACCTTTTTTCCTTCATAAGCCATCCCAAATCCATCAGGTTTTGGTACTTTATCTTCATAGCTTTTCAGTGATCTCCTTTTCAGAAAGTCTTCGCAAGATATCTTTTTAACACAAGTTAATGTTCTGAAATGAAATTTCATCCAATGTCAGTTGCAACTTTTTGTATCAGTTAACCATCACTTATAAAATTGTAATTACTCTTTCCTTAATTTCTTCATCTCCAGATATTCTCGTTCATATGTAATTACTGGATAAATTATATCTCCTATGAGCATAGACAATTTTATGAAAAAGATCTACTGTCATTTCCATCTTTCAACCATCTCACTGTCGACTTCCATCTCCAGCTTATTTCCTGTGTTCCTTGAATCCTCACTTTGTAGCTCCTGTTTTTGGTACATTATCTCTTCTTTCTCTAGCTCATATAATTCTTGAAGAACTTTGACAATATTATTTTCTGGTTTTCCAAGACCCCAAGTATTCTCCTATTTTGCTTCTTAAAATGTTCCTCAGTACTTTCAAATTGCTTGCCAATTTGTAATCTGGTCTTTCTAATCTTGAAATTGTCCCGCCATTGTCTGACAAATTCTTTAAAGCCCTCTTGTTTTAATCTGTGATATGTGTAGGTGTAGATTACCGTGGTGTGTCTAGAAATCGCTCTTCCCATTCAGTAAAAATTGGAATCTGTCAATATGTGATGCACTAATTTTTTTTTATTTTTCTTAGAAAGATGTGATGCACTGAGTTTATTGCTGGATGTAATTTGAGTGCCAGTCACATTAAGTTAATATCATTAATGAAGTGCCAAAAGTTGAACATTCCCTGAAGGTCACCATCTTGACTACGTACATTGCAAGGCAAGTCTCACAAGATTGAAATCCACGGCTAATCACAAGTAAAAGAAGTCAATAGGTTTTATTGTATGCGTTATACTTTTCAACTTTAACTTTTGCCGGATGGCTTTTTTTTAATATAAAATACTCATTAGTAAAATATTATGTTCCTCATCCTCGTGGTGCTTTTTCCTATGATTTTTTCCTGATAGATGATGCCCCACTATTTTATTATTTTTCTCCTTCTCTGCCTGTTACTTCATGGCGCACACACCATCATTGAACGAATTTGTTTTCATTGGACGGACTGAAAAAGCCTGACTTCCTGCTCTGATTTCCCATAATTTTCGTTGGTTGAATTGCTGGATTTTGAGGGCTATTGCATTGTGCTGCTTCCACAGCACAACTATATACACCTGTGATGGCATGTGACTTTGATTATTTGTAACATGTCACTTCTGTTAGTCTATGAGCAAAGCCAGGTGCTATGGCTGGATTGTGTGTATAAATAACCATTTTATGTGGTCTTCTGTTTCGGTGGTTGCAGTATAAGAGAAGTTTCTCTTAGTTTGAGACCCAAGTGGAGCGGGCTATGTTTAAATTGTCCATAACTATTTAGATGTCTTTTATTGTCTTATTATGTTTTTCTTGATTTAAGCCACAAAGTTATTGTATGAAGTGATGGGATGTGGAAATTAACATTGTAAGGAGGATCTAGTGTTACCTCTTTAAAGAAATCGAGGCTATCTTTTAAGTGATTGTGTGATTAACCTTTTCTTCTCAGCCATTTAAGGTATGGCGTGATTTATTGTTACTGAATCTAATTATTTGAACTTAAGTAGAGTTAAAGGAGTCGTAATTCCATTTCCTGAAGTGGCTTCATTGAATTCTGTTGACTCCTGTGCTTTCATATGCCAGGCAAAAGAAAAAAGGTAGAACAATTGCTGAATCATCAGCGAAGCATGCCAAAGTGGAGGCTTCACCTAATAGGTTATCTTTTATATCTCATCCATTTTTTTAAATTTTATGAAATTGATAGGTATTGAAGCTAATGATTTCAGTTTTTGATCTGTTTCTTACAGTAATCTCAAAGGCAAGTCCACAAAATCTGGACTTAAATCCAGGAGTGAAGGTAAATCTGATGGGAGAAATGAGGATGATGAGCCTGGCAGTAAATCGAAGGCCCAACCTCGAAAGAGCACTGGTAAATCTGTTGACGACGCTGAAAAGGTATCTGGCAAATCTAATATTGGTAGTAGTACACCTAAATCCAAGTCTGAGCAAGAATCCTCATCAAAGACTGCCACCAAGTCCAAAGGTAAAACTCCTCAAAGTGGCAGCAAGCCTAATGCCAATGGCACGGGCAAGGCAAAGTCAAGTTCCTCAAAGGTGAAAGAAACATCGGACCGAAAAGAAAAGTTAACTGATCCAGTGAAAACACCTGAAAGCACAAAGGATAAATTATCTGTTGCATCAAAGGAACAAGTAAGTGAGACAAAAAGTGGAAAAAAGCGAGGCAGAGGGAAACGGTGAATATATGTGATGCGTCTTTAGGGGAGCTATTCGGTCTTGCCGTATGGTTGGTCTTGGGGGACTTGTTGCACAGCTCATTGAAGGGAGAGTATGCATGCCTTTCATGTTAATTGTTCTGTGATGACAGTTCAGGATCATGGCTTTGCAAATATTGTAGTAGCTTTGTAATTCTTTTGGTCTGTGAGTATCCCGAGGGTAGTTTTTCTCTCAATTTCACTGTAGTAGTAGATTGAAGTTACATTATTAGTTTCTCGTTTCTGGTTAGCAGTTTAGCTTCGGTCGTCGTGGCCTAGATCACTAAGGTATCATAAGCGTTACTGTATTTATGGGATGCAGTTTGAAGTTGCAACAGGTGAAGTTTCTAGTTAGCTATGTTGACGTCTTTTGGAGCTAGTTAGCTATGTTGACGTATCTCGGAGCTAGACAAAATGAGCCAAGTGACGAGCTTTTCCCTTCTATTCTAGAGGGTAGAATATTATTGTGGGAGTTTGGTTTCTTCTTCAACGATATGGTAATGGTTTTGACCAACTTTGACAATACCATTTGATGAGCCATAGGTAAGCAAAAAGCTCAAGCTAACTATATGGACTATAAAAATGCAACTACGTCTAGTCACAAGAGCAGAGTTAGTTTAAAGGGGTTCGATATAATTTTTTTGTCAAAAGATTAATCTATGCCTATGGTATTATTTTTTCTTTTTTTCTTTTAAATCTCAAACTTGTTACTCTTGGCTTCGAGGCGCTGAGATGACTGCAGATTTTACTTTATTTATTGTCTTATGCTTAATTGCAGAATCATGCCTGTTATAAAAGAATANAAAGAAGAAGAAAAAGAAAACTAGATAATAGATAATGTAGTATTTTTTTTTTGGTATTGTTATCATCTCACGTTACAAAGATTTGATTCTCCGAGCTGTACTTTCTCCACAAGAAAGATACTGCAATACCTATCCCTTTGTGAATTATTCTCCATTTAAGTCATTTCATGATAATTTTTTTCTCTCAAACAAAAGAAAGCATTGTATTTGTATATTCAATTAGAATATTTGAAAGAGGTTCTCGTTCTCTTGGAGGTTTTGTTGATGGGATAAGGAATAATAGTCCAGGGATTAGATATGTGATTATTTTATTTTGCGTTTGGTTGAATTTAAATTGAAGAATTAATTTAAATAGCCGTCCACGTAATCGCTTAAACTAAAAATAGCCCGTGAAGGTATAATTATGCATAATTTATGTATTATACATGTAAATTTGTGTATGAAATAACCTAAAAATTATGTAAATGGCTAGAAAAGTAAATAATTAATATAGCTGGCTATTTGTGTAAAATCCCTTTTTGAATTCGGGATTGCTCAATTTATACCACAATTTTGGTATTATTCTCGTGGAATAATAATTTCGGGATAAAATACTATAATGACGAAGATGCCCTTTTCTAATGCCATTTCCTCAAGTCCTTATAATAATTTTGGATTAAAAAAACGGAAAAGGGCCAAATATATCCCTCTACTTTGTCCCGTTATACTTTCCTTTCAAAGTTTTATATTTGTCCCTAATTTAACGGCCAAGACACGTGAGAGATTGAATCCAACCCGACTCGTTACCCATGACCCGCCCAACGCTATTCCCCTTTTTCTCTTCTTAATCACAAGCATCCACATACTTCTCCTCTTCATTTTCATCAATTTCATGGAGTACCAAACATGGAGTCGGTATCGGAGGAGGAGAAGCAGACGAGTCGGAACTAAAAATCATTCAGAGTCTTAGCAGCGCCAGAAAGAATGTACGCGACGTTGGAAAAATATGGCCGGTGAGACAACTAGGGCTGTCGAGAAACGCCTGTTGTTTCGGCGACAGTGGTGTCGTAAGGACCAACGACGTATCTCTTTCACCAATTCTTAACAATTTTTGCTCCAGAACGAGAATCCATGGCGGCAATGAAGGGGTGAAGAAGTAGCTGTAATGAGTTGAATTACAGAGCATATGTTTATCACTATTAATGGAGTTATAAGTGGGTAAACCATTAAATTTGTGGGTTGAAGCATAGAGGTGGCTGTGGTGTGCAGCAGCCAAAAATTTCAATAGATGGCATGGAAATGGTTGCTGAATAAGCTTCAAAAGAAAAGGAGAATAACCCGAGCAGATGCCAAAACCATTTGAAAGGAAACAACAACTGTAGGTGTTCTGATTCGATTTGGGCAGCGGCACACATTATTACAATTTCATATAGCTACATGTTTTGATAATGATCTGCCTGGACAACCAAAAGTATGTTGATTTTCTTGATTATCCTTTTTGAACTGTTGGATCTTTTGAGAGGAAGACGAGGGGTGTTTTAAGAGGAGAATGGGTACGACTGGTCATGGGTTTTAGTTGGGTATGGGTTTTTCAATTTTGTGGGTTGGATCTTTTGATTAAATGCTGCCACGTGTTTTGGCAGTTAAAGTAGGGACAAATGACCCGGGGGACAAGATTAAACAATAAATGAAAATAGAGGATATATCTCACCCTTTTCCATAAAAAAAAATAAAGTTTATCCTAACTTATTTAGTACACACAAAAGGTAGCTTAGATTGAGAGGGATAATGAATATTCTTTTATAAAATATGAAGAAATATTAAATAAAAGCAACATCAACCGTTTGGAAAGTTTATCTTTTTTAAGTTTGTGTACTTAATTTATTTGGTATTTCTGTTTTTCCTTTTTCTTTGAGAAGGGCACTCGAGACTCACCAGCATATCTAAATTCTAAGGAAAAAATGAGAAGCCAAAAAGACCATCTGATTAATCATAAAAAATGTATGATCTAAAACAGAAAGATAAAGACCGATAAATAAGTCAGGTGATTTCAAATTACTGCTTTTTCACTTACTACTCAAATAATTTAATGTGAAGAACAATGTAACTTTCTTTTATCCATGCCAAAATTCATAATTTAATGGCCGAGAGCCTGAAAAGTGAAAATCAACCACCTCTGTCAAATTTTTATCCTTTCGATCGAGCCAGTTTCAGCCTCAACTGTTTAGTTCTTGAAAATGTTATTTCCTCTTCATTTGGACAAATGTTTTGTGTATTTTCTATAGGCTAGTAAACTCAAATACCTGACAGTTCAACATAGAAAAGAATGGAAAGGTAAATTAAAGTAACAGGCACTCAAAGAGTTGGATTATTGCTCAGTTTTTCGCCCGAGGAGTATTTTGGTCGCGTTGGGCAGATTGCATACTATTAGGTCAGACACCTTTTATCACTATTGGACAAATTTCTCCTCTTCACGAGAACAAGTAATGGCCACCATAGTAATTCCATCCATTTTATAAATCGAGAAAATCTCCTAGGCACATGTTACGAGACTGGATGGCTATTGAAAAATTGTTTTGCAGCAATCAACTTTCCTAGTCACTACTTTGTTTGCAAGAGCACCAAACTTGCTCTCAGCTCCTTGAACACACATCACTACATAAACAGACCTTACTGCTAGAATTAGGAGAGAACTGCAATTAGAATCGTTACTCTGTCCAAAATAAGTGGATATTGATACTAGTTAATTACATTGTTGCGCTTTATATATAGTTACATTGAACGTTTATATATATGTGTGTGTGTGTGTATAGTAGCCAATGTTGAAGTTTGGCAAAATGCCAAAGTCCCACATTGGTTGGGAGTTAAGTTTGGGGGGGA